ATTCCGTCGTGGGTGCGGACGCTGGCGCTCGAGTGCCTCCGACCGGATCCCGAAGACCGGCCGAGCGCTACCCGCGTCGCCTTTACCATTCGGCAACAGCTCAAAGTGTCATTGTAAACAAGAAGTGCCGATCTTGTGGTTTCGACGGCATCATCGCGCCTGAGCTTTGTCCACGGTCAATACAACAGCATTTCTCATTCTAAAGTACTTTTGCTTTGTTCATCGTCCAGCTGCAGCGTCCACAACTCATCTCGGTTTCTTCACTTTGTTGCCGCCGTCTTTACTGGTAACCTGAACTTGATGTTGAGATTGTCCACTGGATTGACCATCCGATTGGCTGCTGGTACAGATAGGATAGTGACGCGCCTAGGCGATCGCACCGAGTGTGCCCTGTCGCAGTACGTAGCAGCGTCAAACCATCCAAGACGATGTGTGCCGTGGGGAGTTAAGGAGTCCTGCTTTCTTGCACGACTTGTGGCATAGATTCCGCCTAAATTCGAGGTCGATACATGCAAGACATACAGTGTAGTTGCACTGGGTTGTTCATGTGAGTTACACTGGGTGGTACACTGTTGCAGGGTTGTAAGATTGGTGGCAGCACGAAGAGTTGGTGGTGCACTGCGTGGTGCAGGGCCAAGGACGCGTGGCGCTCTTGTTGCTATGCACGCGGCGTTGGTACAATGTCCATTTTGTCTCGAACCAAGCATTTTGTCTGCAAGGCGGACAGATAAATATCTGACGACGACATCTGGCGCAAGACGCGCGGGACCATCAGATGCTCCACTGGCCACAACGACAGCCGAGCGTTGGTCACACGACTTTGCCATTACCGTTACCCCACCGACGTTCGGTCATTTCTCGAGTTGTCGTGATGCTGCCGCTCGTCGCTGCCCTGGTACCGCCGCGGACGCGTCACGGCGCTCATGCATCGCTGTCGCGGTAGGTTGCTGGCGTCGCCGCCCGTGTCGCCGCCGCCGACTGCCTCTACGCGGGGTACACGTCGACCTTTGTGAGCTCGACCTGCACGCAGCCCGGCGCCGTCCTCTGCTCCGTCGACAGCTCGTGCAAGGTACCATCCATCGCCAGTGGCCCTATGCCTGAGTCTTTCTGCGCTAGCTCAACAAGATGTTCTGGACCAAGGACGACGTCAAGAAGGACTCGACTCAAACCAACCTGCTCGTCATCAACGGCACCTGTGCGTCGAGGACGATGCGAGCGTCTTAGAGGACTTATCCCACCTGCGTAGACAAGGCGCAGTACCTCGCCGAGCTCCCGAATCTGAGCCAAGTCTACATGTACGCCATTTCCATGCACAAGTTACGAGGCTAATCAACGCATGGGCTAGTCAATTCTACAACTCGGTCCGCGCGGTTGGCGACCTGTCCAAGGACACCAATGTCGCGCTTTTGTACGACGAAGAAAGAAGCAGCGATGTGGTTGCTTATCTATCTTACTGGTAGGGATTTCGAGGCCAACAAGGGCATTGACTTGTCCAAAGCCGCCTTCTCGCCGATCATCACACGCCTGTATTCGCTTCCACCTGCTGCAAACGTCTTGGCTCATGGCACCAAATCGCTGACTAGGTCCATTGCGGCGTGCCAGCTCCCAACGCTTCCGACGACGATCCCGTACGGCCAGCTTTCGGAATTGTACGTGATTTGTCTCGAAAATGCCGGAAAATTCATGGAAATAAACGGTAGCTATGGCTGGCAAAACAACTTTACGACGATCGAAAACGTGAATTTCCGCAACGCCGTTGAAATGTACGATAGTCGAAACCATATCGTCGTCACATTCACCTCCACGATGCTATTTTGTAGCAAGTTCAACGGCTGCCCGTACCTCACGACCCTCTCAAACCTGACCGTCTCGTCAAAACTGAGCAAATTGTACGCGAACTACCAGATTTCTGGACTAATTTCTGGTGTAGCTACTTTGACGACTCACACTTCACAACGTTCCTCATCGACCAGCCGACGTATGCAGCGCTCCAGGCTGTGCCCACGTTTGCTGTCGGCAGCATCGACGTCGCTGCCACGTGCAAGGCGCCCAACACCATTCAGCTGCTCAAGACCAAGTACTCGGTGTGCGTCATGCCAGCCCCGGGTACGACCGTCGATGATTTTCTATCATTTCTTATTCAAAGTTGTAGCGACTGAAGACTCTGGCTCGTCGTCCAACACGGGTCTTATCGTCGGTGTCGCGGTCGGTGCCGTCGTTCTTGTGCTCGCCATCGTCGGGTTTGTGCTGTACCGCCGCAAGAAGAACGCTGCCTCGACGTACAACATGCGCGACGCTCTGTCCAAAGTCTGATATATCTCTGCATAGGGGCACGAGCCACACCGGGTACACGGCTCACAACACGACGACCCAGGGCATGACGACGTCGACGGGCCAGTACAGCATGGCCTTCAACATGGAGGTAACCACTCACTCAAAATCGTCCACCGAGGCTCATATGTCGAGTAGGATCTCGAACTCCTCCGTCTCGACGAGCAAGCGCTCACCAAGGTCCAGTCAGTGGCTCAAGGCGCGTACGGTGAAGTCTACCGTGGCGAGTACAAGGGTACGTCCATGCGATCCCACACATCTCATATCGTTGGC